TTTTTTTTTTTTTTTTTTTTTTGCCTCTTCCTGAGGTTAATTGCCTAAATTGGAGAGTTCAAAGTGAAAGTGTGTATTTCTTTTTTAACAGCTATCAGGTACCTCCCTTGGTTGTTAATAAGACTGGGATAGTTGTGAGCCCTCTGATATCGTTGATGCAAGACCAGGTGAAATGATCAATTCTTCCGAATGGGTCTTCTTGTTTACATGTCTATGCTCTCAATGCCTATATATTCAAATTATTATCTGAAACAGGTGATGGCTTTGAAACAACGGGGCATCAGAGCTGAATATCTTGGAAGCGCTCAGAAGGATTCCACTGTGCACTCTAAAGCTGAACGTGGTCAGTTTGACATTCTGTTCATGACTCCTGAGAAGGCATGCTCAGTTTCTACTAGGTATTGGATTAAACATGTGTAAACTTCAGCTGTGTAAATCATGACCTTATTTTGAGTACATTACGAACATTGTATAGCTTGTTGATAAATTGAAGTGTCATGGAACTATTCTAGAAGTTATAAGACTAGTGCACTTTATTGGTTTTAATTATCTTGTTAATATCTGGAGGAAATGGATCACCAATCTTAGTCCATACTATGTCTTGTTTAATTATGACCTACTGTTAAATTCAATCTTGTAGTTTCTGGTCCAACTTACTAAAGGCTGGAATTAGTCTTTTTGCTGTTGACGAAGCCCATTGTATATCGGAATGGGGACATGATTTTAGGGTGGAGTACAAGCATCTAGACAAGTTACGTGGGGTTTTGCTAGATGTTCCTTTTGTTGGTCTAACTGCAACTGCTACTGAAAAGTAAGCATCTTTTAATCTGGCTGTTAGTGAAGCATATATTTGCTGTACTTCTTAATTATTCTGATACAAATTTTGTGCCTCCTTTATCTTGTATAGATTTTCCTTTTCAACTGTTCATTGACTAATTTGATTTTAGTGGCAAGTCAGTGTCATTATCATGGTTTTTACATTTACATGTTTTGCTAGCATTGGATTCAAACCTCAGTCCATTGCAGCCTTCTATCTGCCTGCCTGTCTCTCCATTTCTCTTTTGTGTGTGTCTTTCACTTCCACAAATAACAGTGAAGGTAAATGCTGGAGAATAATAGAATTACAAAATCAAGTTAGTTCAATTTATGAAGACTAACCAGAAACTCAATATTTTAATATTTTATTATTTCATAAAATAATCATAAACTGATAAACATGCCTCCCATTTCTTCATGCATGTTTTTGCTTGGAAGTTTCCAATTATGTCTTCATCAGCTCCTCCCTCCCACATTTTGTTATAGTTTTTTAGAATAATGTCTTCAGTTATAAGCCTCATTTCTGAATGAGATTATGAGTGGGGGACAAATTTTGAAGCTGTTGGATTAAACAGATATGGGGGAAGAGTAGTAGATTGAAATCCTAGTCTTAGTTTTACTAACTGTAAATATTTGTCTAGCAGACAATCAAGACACATGTGGAATTAGGAAAAGAAGAAGGATAGTGGTAGTTAGTTAGGGACAATATGGTAGGGAAGGAGAGCCAGGACTTGAATGTATTGGGGTTGGAGACTAGTGCTTCTGTTATCCAGCACTGATTTGTATTTTCCTCTCTGAACTGGAATTTTGTTATCCAATTGATAGATTTCCAGAGATAGAGGACTTTTCTTAATAAACATCTCCTGATCCAGTTCTATTAGAAGCCTATTGGGTTACTTTAGTTTTAAAAATGTTTCTGTTTGTGGAAAAAATAAATTACCAGCTTTTGGAGTTATTGAAACACCTCTGCAGAATCCTAACTTGCTTCTGATGAACACAGTTTTGAGGATAGGGGAGGGCTGCTTAAGGTTTCGTTGTAACATATAATTTATTTGATTTATATCTTAACTGGTACAACAATTCCGTCAGTACTTCCAAAACGGTGTACTTCTGGTAGTTGTTTTCTCTTTCTTTCTTTGGTACAATATCTTTTCATTAAGAGGAAAGGTTTTTGTTACTTTTGTTGAACACTATTCTGAACATTGCTACAAGAATGGATAAGAATTTATTGATATTTCTACTTTGCAAATTTAATTAATGAATTTATATGATGCTTCTTTATATTACACTGTTGTACTTCTTGGTTCTTTTAGTTATTACTTATTAGTATACCCTAACTTTATTCAGTCAAATGAGATAAACATACTGTCATATTAATTTATGTGCTCTACTGCCAGGGTTCGATTTGACATCACCAGTTCTCTTAAGATGAAGAATCCTTATATTATGGTTGGTTCATTTGACCGCCCAAATCTTTTCTATGGTGTCAAACTACTTAACCGTGGACAATCTTTTATTGATGAGCTTGTGCAAGAAATTTCAAAAGAAGTTGCTAGTGGTGGTTCAACTATAATTTACTGCACAACAATCAAAGATGTGGAGCAGGTAATGTTCTAGAAATGTTACAAATGAATCCCAAAGTAGTGTTGTGATTTCATATCATTACTGACCATTTGAAACTTGCATTCAGTTAATTTTCCATCTTGTTTGCATTTTTCACTGTCTAAATTATGTCTGTCTGTATTGACTATAGCCTTTTCTTGTTTTAATTTTTCCTTGATATTATTTTAAATAGATATTCAGGTCATTTTCCGAAGCAGGCATTGAAGCAGGAAT